AAAACTATTTAATCAAATTTTAAATTCCAAAAGTTGAGGGCACGTTTTGAAACTTTTTAAAACTTTTTAGATCAAACTTTAAAACAATTAAATTATTCATATAATTTATCCTTATCATAAATTTGACCTTATCATTTTATCCTTCAAGAGCTTAGTGCCTTTCACCTCTAATGGAGTCACAAAGACCAAGTAGCAATGGAAGAATATGAGAGAGGTGGGGAGGCCCTAAAATTGGCTAGGGTTCTCTATGAATGCATAAGGCTGATTTTAAGGAGCCAAGGGTTCCTTATATAGCCGAGGATCTTAGGGTTTTAGATAGAAACCCTAATTTGATTGCTTAAGCCTTAAGCAACCTATGGAAACCTTCTAGAAGCCCCCTTTGAATTAAATCATCTGTAGGCTTTCTATAGATTTCGTCCAAGCGTTTCCAAGGTGATCTAGTAGCCTAGTTTGCAACTATCAATGATTTACACAACCAGTCCCCTTACTTTTAATAAGTTCGTTAATCAAAAAATTAATTCCAAATTTATTTATGATTAATACTAATTGAATAATTGATGGGTTTCGAGCAATACATCATTCTTATGGTGTACATGCAAACCCTAATAGCTTTTGGATCTAGTTTGTCTAATGAACATGAAATTTAATATCCAAAGTTATAAACCTTAGATATGGCATACAATTAATCATATTAACATAAAATAGGGTTTAGATCTAACCCTTGATTGTTATATAGCAATAACAATCTAATCATTGGCTTCAAAAAGCTTAGTGCCTCAAGTGTTGCACCTCTAATGGTGTCACAAACACCACTAAGTATTTGGATGAAGGAGATAAGAGAGGGGAGGCACCAAAAAATGGCTGGAAACCCTAAAGGAACCCTTAGCCACATTTTTGGGGCATAGGGGTCCTTTATATACATGTAGGCTATTCGGGTTTGCAACTATGAAACTCTAATCTGACTACTTAGGCCCTAAACAACCCATGGACTCCTTTAACATATCCCTTGGACGAATTCCTTATGGGCTTCCCATAGAATTCGTCCAACCTATATATTATTAGGTGATCCATAGCCCAATTGTAATTATCTTATAATTACAACTCCGGTCCCATAAGTTTAATTAGCTTCTTTTAGCCACAAAATTAATTCTTAATTAATTCTTGACTAATATTAATTAAACATTATGATTTCTCCTTTAATATATTATTCTTATAATATATTAATAAATCATAATTAAACCTTTCTCTCCTTAGTTCATCCTATATATTGCTATGGTGAAGGCAACCCAAAAGAACCATGCTCACGATCGGGTCAAGTACATACCAAAATAGTTATGGACTTAGACACTAATACAAGAATAATATGATTTTTCAATTAATATATTATTCTTATAATATATTAATAAATCATAAATCTACCTATTTCTTCATAATTCATCATATCAAATTGCTATGGTGAAGGCAACTCAAAAGGACTATGCTACTATCAGGTCAAGTACATACTGATTATAGTTATGGGCTCAGACACCTACTCTAACAATATATTGGCATTCCAGTCCGATGATTGATTGGGTTAGGGGTAATCCAACCCGGTGGTTATCGACCTGTGGGTGTTCTAGTCCAACGATTTATTGGACCCAACATGCTTGTTTATATATGATGCGTGTATTGTGTGGTGGTATTTTGAGGAAAACTTAATAAACTTTGCCTTATAGTGTTTGGTTATGGTTTTAGGTACTTCAGAGGACCATGGCAAAATGAAGGCGTGACCATACACATCCTGATTTTTATGTTGTTAATCTTGGGAGACTCTGTGTTAAATAATAGTTTTGAAACAATGATTTTGTAAACACTTTTATTAGTAAATGGGTTGATTTGAAAAGTTTAAATTGGGTGTGATTTTTAAGATGTTACACTTCCCTTCCTCTTATCGTCAGAGTATTTCTTCACAAATGACATCTAAAGGTTAGTCTAATAGTTCAAACTCACTTACAAGTAAGAGAAAAGGCATAGCTACCCTTTTCGAGGAGATGATATTGTGGTTTAGAAGTTCGATTTGTATAATAAATAAATGAAGACCCCTACAAGTTAGTGGTTTAAACTTACTAAGCGTTTCCTGGATCAACCTTGTAGGGGTCTTCGTTTACTTGTTGTACAAATCGAGCTTCTAAACAATAATAGTATCTCCTAGGTGAGTACACCATTTTCATTGACTTTTAGGTGACTTTAAACCATTGAATGTACCTTCAAACGTCATTTGTGAAGAAATATTCTCATGAGAATTAAACATCAGACAATATAATATAAACGTCACATAAAAGCAAAAATGGCTTTTTCAAAAAAATAGCCAAAGTACAAGGGTTTTCTTGAAATCAGTTTTTTCTTTTTCCAAAAGCTGGTTACCAAACTAAAATCATAAAATTAACAAGTTCAAGTTTCTTTCGTGCTTTAGTAGAAGAGAAAAAACAAAATATATTTTTCGAAAAATGATTTAAATCCAAGGGTTTTAGTACAAGGGTTTTGTGAAGAAGTTCTCTAATGAGAAGAGGAGATGAAGAGATATAGATATGTGAAATTGGGTTCGATTCAAATTTTACATTTGAAACTCAATCATACCACATAAGATCTGATGTGGCTTCCACATCACAATATTGATATGTCACTTATTTGATAACGTGTTAGATTGATGGTAACTGATTCATTTGTTGTCATTACAATAAAATTGTAAATGTAATGACATAATTGAGAAAAACAAAACACAATGTATAATTAAGAAAAACAAAACATAGTGACAAAATCAAAATTTTGATAAACTTAGTGATTTTATGGCAATTCGGAAAAAATGGTTACCGAGAGAATGAAGAATTGGTTAATATTGCAACAAAATAATAAATATAGCGACATAATTAAAAAAAAAATCGGTGTTAAATTGAAATTTTATAATAATGATACGATTTTTTTTTCTTGGTAATGTGCCATTTTCTTAAATAAAACTAGATAATATGATTATTGAATTTCCAAGGTTATCGTTTGTCTTTATGCAATTATATTTTCTAGTTTTTTATTTATTTATTTTTTATTATTTATTTTTTATTTTTATTTTTATTTTTAAAATAAATTTATGGTTCAAATTCAAAATACTAACATGTTTTGAACCGTTTTTTTTTGGAAAGGGAACTTCCTTAACGAGGGTTTTCGAGCCAGCTTTCGCGCACCGACTAATCCTCCGCTGCAAACATAAAGCTTTGCCTTATACCCTGGAGTCACTGCAGGCGAACCTCCATGGCCACAAGGGTTGAGTGGTGCCAGGATTTGAACATGGGTCAATAGGTTATCCACCATATCTTCCACATGTCTTACCAAGTCACCACAACCCAAGTGGTTGTTTTGAACCGTTTTATGATAGTATAACTAGGTTTAATACCCATGTAATACATGAGTTTAATTAAAAAAAATAAATGTAAAATTTTAACAATTTGAAAAGTTTGAATTTATAAGAAAATTTTGAATTATTAAGATTTAATGTATTGAATACATTACATATATAAAGTTTTTCTAATAAATACTTTACATATATATTACTTTACACATTAAATATGAAATTTTAATTTAATAAAATAAAAAATACAATAAAATGACAAGTGGAAAATAAAAATTTAAAAATTCTAGAAAATACCATGTATACAAATGAATAAGAAAAAAATATGTGGTAAAAAAAACCTTCATTTATTATAGTAAGATGGTATATTGTTTTTTTCTAAAGTCTTTTGGTCGGTCTATCATTGTTGTTACAAATTTTAATTAACATTTATTTATATGACTTTTAAATGAATAGAATAAATGGATAAGAAGAAAAAAAAGAGAAAAGGGGGAAATGATTTTGAAAATTTAAATAAATAAGGGGATGTGGGGCTTGTGGCCATCAAGACGTGTAATCCACCACCGTACATCAAGGATCTTAGAGATCAAAGTCATCCAACGGTTCATATTGAATCTCTCTCCTTCTATATCTTTTCCTACACTTCCCTTTAATTTCTGGGCAAGACCTTCTCTCTGTTGCCATTCTTTCGAAAATCTCCCACCTCATAATCTCTTCCCACATCTACCGCCATTTTTTAGCATTCCTCAGGTATGTTTCTTCACGTTCTTCGCGAATCCATTTTTTGTTTTTGTTTTTTTATTTCGTTAGTAGATCCGTTCAATTCTGTCAGATTGTTTTTCTCCAATTTTAGGTAAAATTCTACTATTTCTCTACATAATGCTACGAATTTCGTCTATGCATGTCCACAAAGTAGATTTCCCGTGCTTGTTAAATGCTAGCATTTTCATCTACCGCAGAGACTGTCGTTGAATTTTGTGATCATTTGCCGTTTGCAGTTTCTTTTTTCATATTCGTAGAAGATGAAAAAGCCAGAGACAGTAATTGTCATTTCAGTAGACGTTAGGGTTTGCGACGTAGCAACGTTATGAGCATTTCGTTGCTATAATCGATTATCGATTTTTTTGCTTGTAAGCCTTAAGCAATTATTTGTACTTCGTCGTAATATTTCGAAAAAACTTCAATCTCGTGGTTCGACCATGGAGATTGATGAGATTCATCTATATCAATTTTGTTTTGGCATGAAGCTACTATTATGATTATGGATGTTTTCGGTTCCATTTCCATCTCCATGCCACCTTAAAATTGGGTTCAGACGTCAGCGAATATTTTTTGCCGTATCAATCTGGTTGCAGTCCGTATAAAATACCTATTATCTTTGTCATTCTCTATGGTTGTATCGATCAGAGAATCTCCATTTGGCTCGATGCCATGATATCAGCATCTATCTACTATTATATCATGCCTTTTTTGCTCGTAGTTTCTTCCATAACCTTGATCCTCTGATTAGGTTAGCACTTAGCAGTATAACTTCTATTTGAGTTGCATACTTACACTTTCACAATCATATGAATCTCACAATTGTATTAATGATTTATGTTTGTTCTGTAGTTAACATAAGATGGCAGACTCAGAGGACATTCAGCCCCTTGTGTGCGATAATGGAACTGGAATGGTTAAGGTACTTTATCTTCTCCCCCTTCCACACACACATACACACGAAAACACAGAACTAGTCTAAACCAGGTAAATCTCCATTACAGGCTGGTTTCGCTGGAGACGATGCTCCAAGGGCTGTGTTCCCAAGTATTGTAGGTCGTCCACGTCACACTGGTGTGATGGTTGGAATGGGCCAAAAAGATGCTTATGTAGGAGACGAGGCCCAATCCAAGAGAGGTATTTTGACTCTAAAGTACCCAATTGAACATGGAATCGTCAACAATTGGGATGACATGGAGAAAATATGGCATCACACCTTCTACAACGAGCTCCGTGTCGCCCCAGAAGAACACCCTGTTCTCCTAACCGAAGCCCCATTGAATCCCAAAGCCAATCGTGAAAAAATGACACAAATCATGTTCGAAACATTCAATGCCCCTGCCATGTATGTCGCCATCCAAGCCGTTCTTTCCCTGTATGCTAGCGGTCGTACAACCGGTAAGTCAAAAAGAAACACTTATCTGTGTCTCAGTATCAGTCAGTATCAGACTGACATTGTTGTGTGGTGGTGCAGGTATTGTTCTTGATTCAGGGGACGGTGTGAGTCACACGGTCCCCATCTACGAGGGTTACGCCCTGCCACATGCCATCCTCCGGTTGGACTTGGCTGGGCGTGACCTGACAGACAGTCTGATGAAGATCCTTACGGAACGTGGGTATTCATTCACGACCTCAGCGGAACGCGAAATTGTAAGAGACATGAAAGAAAAACTGGCGTATATCGCCCTTGACTATGAGCAAGAGCTTGAGACTTCTAAAACTAGTTCTTCTGTTGAGAAGAGTTACGAGCTGCCCGACGGGCAGGTTATTACCATCGGGGCAGAGAGATTCCGTTGCCCGGAGGTGTTATTCCAGCCTTCGTTGATCGGAATGGAAGCTGCGGGTATTCATGAGACTACGTATAACTCGATCATGAAGTGTGATGTGGATATCAGGAAAGATTTGTATGGAAACATTGTGCTTAGTGGTGGGACCACCATGTTCCCGGGGATTGCCGATAGGATGAGCAAAGAGATCACCGCCCTGGCCCCCAGCAGCATGAAGATTAAGGTGGTGGCACCGCCGGAAAGGAAGTACAGTGTCTGGATTGGAGGGTCTATTCTTGCATCACTCAGTACTTTCCAGCAGGTTTGTTTTTTTTTTCATCATCTTTATCGTTTACAATAATAAAGCAAAAAATAATGAATTTATATTTTTTGTTGTTGTTGCAGATGTGGATTGCGAAGGCGGAATATGATGAATCTGGTCCTTCGATTGTTCACAGGAAGTGTTTCTAGTTTGTGCAAGTGAAGGAAAAAGGTGTATTGAAGAAGATATTCAACGTTTAATTTTCACTTGTTACATGTCGTTTATGTCATCATAAATGTTGTTTTTAAGTTTTATTTTTTGGTGAATGGTGATGTTGGGTTGAGAACAAGCAAGACGATTATTGTAACTTTCACAATTCTTTCATTTCAATCTCATATTAGAAGCGGTATATTAATATCATCAACTATTTCTTTCACATCCTATTTATATTTTATTAATCATAGTAATGGTATCGGACTATGTTGCTTTACTACCTATTAGTTTTATTACATATTATCTTTAAAAAACGCTTATATTTTTATTAATTATGATGAAAAATATAATGTTTTTTCATGACTTGTAGGAAAATTCAAATTAATATCAAATACAAGAGATATTCCAACTAAACAAACTATAACCAAACAGTTTAAATGAAGGCAAAACTATAAATGGTCAACTTTTGTTTTTTATTTTCCTTAGTAGACATTTAAACTACATTTGTTACACATATAGCTCACAGAGCATAAGTATATAGCAGGGTAACATCAGGTTGACCTTTTATTTTTTCCGCAACCAAAATATGTTAAATAAACGAGTTAAAACTAAGTTGGATCATTTCAATTTCCAAATATAAATAAAAAAGTACGCATAATTAAATACGTTACCAACTTAAATAGTAATTCAAACTTGAGAAAAATACAATTACAAATACAAAACAATTGTTTAAGAGGAATATGTTTTTTTATAATTAATAACGACAAATGCAATAAACCAGTTGAAAATTTACCTAGTCTTTTAGAAAACTAATTTATAAATTAAATACATGACAATTTAAAAACCCTAAAAAAAAGACACTACCATCATACTTCTGATCAGTCCAATGATGCAACTTGCGAGAACGTACCCGCCCATGTGATGACAAATCAACCATGAGTCCTTAACTCTTAGTTTATTAATATGAGATTCACGTTGTGTTCCGATAAAAATCCAACGTCACTTGCAGGAAGATATTTAGTTATAAGATGTCGACTTAATAAAAATTGATACCCAATATTCACAATAAAAAATGCTTATCATGGTTGTCCTTTGCACCTGTTATGTGTTAGCAACCAAGGGAAAACTGAAAAAAAAAAAAACATATTTATTTATAAAAGTATCTATTAGTGTTAAAATTGATAAAACTATAGGTGTATATATTTTTATTGGAAAAAAGTTTCAAACTTTTTTCAATGATAATCGATCTACTTCACTTACTTAACTTAGGTTGGTCACAGTCAAACTTATAAGCTAGTTTATTTTTTGATATCTTTTAGGTTTTCATGTTTGTCCCCCCAAAAATTAGATTATAAGTTATCTTTTTAAAAGCTATTTGGACTAATTTTTTAATAGTTTTTTGACAATTCTTTTTAAGATACTCTTAATTAATCATAAAAATTATTTTTCTAAATATTCTTTTATATTATTTTATATTTTCCAGCTATTAACTATATTTTTAGTTAACAAGTAAAACATTTAATAAATTATTGTGTTCCCATATTTTTAAGCAATATTTTGAGATGGCAACTCATGATGATGATTGTAAGTTTGTGACATTGCTTTGAGATTCACCAAGGAAGTGGGAGTGAGAGTATGGGTTGCACGTTTGGAGGTTTCATTTTGCTTAAAACTTGTTGTGAAATGGTCCCCTTTGCTTTACGTTTTCATCAAATAATTTCATCCACTTTTTCAATTTTAAATATTATTTTTAAAAAGTATGTTTTAAGCTTGTAGATCCAAATATTTATGAATACCTAATAGCTGCAAATTTGAAGTTTTAATTCAGTTTCATTTTTTTTTAACAATTGTTACATTTTAATTTATCTCTGTTAAAAATATTTGAGTATCTGATCACTAATTCAAGACATTTTTTTGAAAGTTGAAGTACTGTTTTTTGGAGGAAAATATTTTATATTGATGTTTGAAAAACAAGTGATTTTATGATTTTATCTATCGAACTAATGAACGCCACAAAGAATTACTATGGCGAAAAAAAGCATTTTAAAATAGTGGGAACTCTCCGATTTAAAGATATATTTTGCAATCATTACCAGATCCAATCTTCTATATTGGTAGATGGAGATCTCATTTTAATATACCATGATTACATTCCATTATTTGTTTAGTTGTCATGTGCACACAAATGTTTCAAGATATCAAAAGATTTTGATTGTTATTCAAAATTCAAATTTGGGTGGGCCTCTTCGGCTACATAAAATGTAACGACGAACGAAATAAATGAATTTTGTTTTGGAACGGCTGAATATATATTAAAAAAAAAATCCTAGTAAGAATCTATAGAACAGAAAATTACAAATGAGCAGAGCTATATGTGAAAGAGAATGAGGAATTATCCGGTTTCTCTTACGTATTTTCCTTCTATTACAAATCTAACCAGAAGACAATATCATCAAAAATGTCTGATTTCTCAGGTTTAACCTTTTCAAAAATCAAATTGTCTCGAAATTTCCACAAACCCCAAAACACAGTGATCACAACTGCGTAAAAGCATTTTTTATATCACTTAAAGAAATTGTTGTTTAAGCAAAGAATTTTTTAACCCGTTTCCCACTTGAATCTTACACAAATCTTCCAAATAAACTCCTTTTGTTGTAATTGATTAACAGCTCCAACAATAATCTATCCAATGATCACAAAAAAAATTCCTCAATTCACTTCTTCCAAATAAATTAAAATCATATAGTACTAAGTCCCTAATGTACGAAATCCACCTTCAAAACTGTGTTTTTGTTTATCTATTTCCTTTTTATCATTAATAGTTTTAGTATTTCAATATGAGCTACGAAGGAATTGTTGTTTGATCACTTGCTTTATAAACTAAGTTGAAATTCAGGATCATTCATATAAACAAAGATAAAGATGCAAAAAAGAAAACCCACATGGCATGATAAAAAAATTCGATATAAAAACAAAAGATCACACACTTTCTTCAAATTCAAACCCAAAAGCTTTAACAATCCGGATAATTGTCACTCATAATCAGTATACAGTTTTCCTAACAAATAAGGAATCCCGCAAAATCAAAAAGAATAATCAGATAGAAACACTGTTGTTTATGGTTAACCTAACTTACATTTGATAGTGTTGTATACCAAGGGTAATTTGGGTAATTACAACTAAGATTCTCGAGTCTTGTGTATTTTCCAAATACCAGCTCTGTATCCCACAGACATCAGACCCATTTCCCACACCATGTTCACAATGCTTAATGGACTCACCTTCGATCCCGGGATTTCAGACCATGTTACAGATATCTCTATTATCGGAATCCCAAAGTATTTGCTTAAATAAACTAATTCCACATCAAAACACCACCTAAAAAAACAAAAAAATTAAAAGATGGGATTTATACAAACATAATCAGCAACTTAACACATGCTCACTCACAAAGTTCATACCTCTTTAAACGGATGTTAGTGAAAAGCTTCCTTGCAGCTGCTCTTGTAAACATCTTAAACCCACACTAATAACAATTCAAAAATGTTTTTTTTTTTGTTCAGAACTAAAATATTTATTACAGAGAAATAAATAAAATATAAACTAACAATAATAACCTGTGTATCACGGACTCCAGGGCCAGCAGCCAGAAGCACCACAACATGGAACCCTTTCATCAAAAAGTTTCTGTACCATTTCCTCTACAAAAAAATAAATTATTAAGAAAAGAAAAAAGAAAAATAAAAGAAAAAAGAACACACAAGTAACTAAACTGTAGCTAAAGCTTTTTTCTCCAAATGAGCACGAGAACCGAATGCCACAATGGGGATATCTGCAACATCTTCATCCGGTTTCATTTCAGCAACTGCAAGGATCTAATACAGAAAAACATCAATTCATATTTCCAAATATACCCTCGATTTAACTTACATGTCACTATGGAGGACACCAACCTGCTTTTCAAGCTTTTCCATGTCATCAACTTTCGTTGCCCCGTCAGCATCTAGCATCAGAAGTAATTTGCCCCGTGAATGAAGCATTCCCTGTTTTACAATGCTTTCGCATAAGCAACAAGCTTTCATCAGTTGACATGTATCAAATCAAATCAAATCATATCATATCATATAATATATATATATGAAATGGGAAATGAATCATCATATGGATTAGGCTCACTTTTCTTATAGCTTCTCCTTTGCCTTGATTCTTTCCAAGAAGCACAACCCTAACATTATCTACTTTATATTTCCTCACAAAGTCAAAGGCTACTCTTTTTGTCCCATCTGAACTTCCATCATCAACTACTATCACCTGTTCAAGAATCAATTCAATTCAAAGTTTCATAACCTTGAATGGAAGCATTTATTTGGTTACAAAATATCTAAAAGATATACCTCATATGAAAATGAGTTGTCCTTCCCTGCACGTTCTTGAAGATAGCTGCACATGAAAATTTAACACAGTGATCAACATCAACCAAGCAAGTCTGCAATTCATGTTCTTTATAAAATCCTAATATGATTGCTTGTTTTACAAATGAAGAGAAGGAGATGGAAAGTTGATGATTTTACTCACTTCATTGTCTCATCAAGAGCTGCAGGCAGTCTAAGTTCTTCATTGTATGCAGGAATGATCAAAGAGATATATTTTTCTGCAGGATCATATATATAAGGACATTCAACCTGCAATAAATTTCTCAAATAGAGTTACTACCCACTAGTCCACTACCAGTTTACCATAAACATTAAGTCATTATGTTTCTTTACTTGAGGATTTTGCCACATTCAATCTATGGCTTTTGCACACATATATCTCTATCACTATTTCACTCTATTCTTCATTGACAACAATTAGCAAAGCAAAGTGCAAAGAAATCAGGGAGCTCCTAGTTCAATTTGATCAGAACCTCTAACATGAATTTGACACGAAGATCCAAACCAAAAACCAGTCCCCAAAAGACCAAAGGGGCAGCATACAAAGCGAGATAGTATAAGTAGGTATACACTAGAAGGCCAAGTGCTATAAACCCTTAAGAAATCATGGGCAACTAAACTCGTCCTTCCTAAGTCCAATATGATACAGATACGTGACAATTAGTTAGAGATAGGACATCGTAAATTAAGATAGGAACGTACCTGTTTCAAAGAATTTGGATCTTCGAAGATCGGGTGAGCTTCGAGATGACTGTCAAAAGAAAATCAACATCAGAAACAAAGACATACTCAGATCAATATCATGGTAAAATTTGGGTTTCAGAAGAAAATACTTGTGGTTC